CTGAATCGACAACTGTGTCATCAACTGATTGATCTGCTGTTGGGATTGGAGATGAGCTTCTTGGGCAGTATCCTGAAGTTCCAAAATCTCGGCTTGATGTTTCAATTGCATTTGATGAATCACATCACTAGCTTGGGATTCCAATTGGCTTACCCTCGAGTTGGCACGATCTATGGCTATCTGTGCATTGGCCTGGTTCTCCCGGACGGTTGCACTGGCTTCCGACTGAACCGCACTCACCATTTGTTGAGCCTGGGATTCAACGGATTGAACATGTGTTAATGCTTGAACTTCGACCGCATGAACATGTTCCCTAGCCTGCTGTTCAAGTGCATGGACCTGTGACTGCACATTGCTTTGCAACTGCAACACTTGGGACGGATCAACACCAACGTGAACATTCAAAGTTCTTTGATCAAAGATGCTCTGGTGATGCTGAAATTCAACCTTTGGTTCCGACCCTGGGTCACGGTGGGACTGTTCCGAACCGCTTACACTCGAACTGCACGATGACTTTCGTATCGAACTCTGCTGATCTGCCAACACACCCTGAAACCGATTCCGATGAGTAGGCTGTACGGGGGGCAATGACTTCTGTGAACTTGCACTAGACGATCGACTACCCTTCGTGGAGGTTTTCCTCACTTGCATGGCTCTACTCTGGACAGGCTCTGGGGACGTGCTCGAAATTTGCAGTGATGATGACTCGGCTGAAACCTCCATTCCTATTGAATCATTTGGCATGATTTCTGATATTTGCGGCATGTCAATCGGGAACACGAGCAAAAAAAAAATGCTACACTACAACAGTTGCTTTACAAGTGAAGTATGGTTCGCACAGACTGACCCTTGGATGATCCCACTTTTAGCGCGCGAAGCGGACTGGGATTCACCTTGCAATGTGGTGTCCCTCGGAAGGAACGGCCACGTTCTCGTTTGTGATTTAGTTGATGGACTCTTGATGCAAATATGATTGTGAAATCGATGGGACTGCCACAGCTCAAGTCAAATTGTTTGAACAATGTTTCAAGCTGGATTCAACCACAAATTCCACAAATCACAAACCTAATAGAGAGCGCACACCAACTAGCGTCGATGATATCCGGCCTGAGCAGCCTTTTCCTGCTCCAGTGCCTCTGCCACGCGATCAACGTTCTTGACTGACTTCACACCTTCCGGCCGAGGCTTGCGCGGTACCTGGATGTGAGCGATCCCTATGTCTCGATTCCAGTACCTCTTGAACTCAACACAGATCTCCTTCTTGTCGTCCACGTGGATGATCGACCTGTCTCGCCCAACAGTGAAGATCCTCGCGAGACTGTCTGCCTTTCCACCCTGACCAGTCGGTTCTCGAGTGATCAAGATGTAGCGGACGGGAAGTGTCCGTGAAGAATTCAACACGCAATCTCTTCTCCAGTTCGAATGCACGTATGAAGTCACCAATGTACTGAACCCCAACCGGTTCAATCTGTCAATCGCTGCTCGAGACTTAGCCGGAACACCGTTCTCTTCAGCAGTCGGATATGTCGCGTAGCTCCCCTCACGAAATGTGTCCAACACCTGGTGAAAGTCTAATGACACTGCAGTGCCTCCAAGATCAATGCGGCTCGCCGGACGAATCCTCTGACCCTGTGCACTGTACAACTCGACCCTGTTCGCGTCAAGATAGTGCCAATCAATCGGCTCGGTGTCACGGACAACAATCGGGAATAAAGAAAATACCTCTGGTGTCGTCTGTAATGCTGCTGCTGCACGCACCTTTGGGGTTGTCTGCAACACCTGGACATACATTCGCTCCACTTTTTCCCACACAAATCCCTAAAGTAAACCTTTCGCAAAATGTTTAACAAATCTCATGTTGAGGGGCAAAAGGTTAACATTTGCTTGTTTAGCGTCAAGCAGCAAAGCACAATGGATTCATGGTTTCCACATGTCTTCAAAAGCAAGCATTTAGCTTGCGTTTAGCAGCAAAACACAATGGATTCATGGTTTCCACATGTCTTCTAAAGCAAGCATTTAGCTTGCGTTTAGCAGCAAAACCCAATGGATTCATGGTTTCCACATGTCTTCTAAAGCAAGCATTTAGCTTGCGTTTAGCATGGTAGCGGAGCAGGTATGGTAGCGGAGCTTTGCAAAATTTGTTTGAAAGTATATACTTAGAACGCAAACATTGTTTGTCATTCTTGTCTGGGTGTTTCCTGTTTGGTCTGTCTGTTGTTTGTGTCGTTTGTTTTCCTGTCTGTTGTCTGTGTCGTTTGTTTTCGTCTGTGTCCCTGGGCGTTTCCTGTTTGATCCTCTTTGTTGTTTGTGTCGTTTGTTTCCGTGCGTGTGGTCCCCACGGTTTCTGCCATACATCTGCTCACATTTCACTCGAGCTTCGGCAAACGGTGGTGCAAACAAATTAAGTACCTTTGTAGTACTGTGAGTGGGGCCGTCACTTTATGACAGCGGCGCACCATGGCCCCCACACGTTTTATCCAGTCCTCATCTAACCACGTGCTGTCAAGCAGGGGGTTTCGCCCAGAAGAATGCTGCATTTGCAGCACGTGTGTCAATAGATGAAACTTGGGCCTGACATACCACCGGCGTCTGTTTTCAGATGCCAGGGACAAGTAGACTTTCTGAAAAGCCAGCCCAACAATCTGAACATGAAGCCGCTGGTGTTCATCCAGCCAAGGGCCTGCCCCGCCCAAAACTTCCATAAAACTATTCGCCAACCAAATGGCGGTTGCAACCTTTGAACACTCTGGTTCTCTCTCTTCCAGCATTTCCCCAAGCCATCTCAAAATGATACACGCATCCATGCCTTTGGCATGCAGCTCCGGAGACCTTTTGGCCTTGAAACAAAGGTTGTCCTTTGAAAATTTCTTCAAAGCAACCTTTTGTTTGTTTGATCGGCGCCAAAATTTCAGTTTCACTGTCGCTTGCGCTAAAGCTGCGCTTTGCCGAAGACGAGGACCAAAGTACTTCGATTTCACCAAATATTGCATGCATCCACCAATCCTGGGCAATGCACACCATCAAAACTCAACTGTTTATCATAACCAGCAACTTTCTACAAAAACAAAAGATCTGCAGCCCAACACCGAGGATCAGGTCACGAGCGCAGCCCAAATTCCATATGTGCAGCATGTCCATGCCTACCTTTCGAATGTCCCAATCTTGTAGTCGACAAATTTGTGGTTCCACATCCCACGGCAAAGAACAGGTGAAATGCGTTGAACGCCACGGGGCATCATCACTCAGGTCTGTGTAGTTATTCGGGATATCTTTCAACCCCTTGCTGGCCATACAGAAAGGACATATATACTCTGCAGTGGCGTACCGAGATAAATTCAGGATTTGCTTCAAAAATTTCCAATCTCCTCGAATGCTCATGATGTGGAAGTGGTAGGTCAGGCCATCAAGCGTTTCAGGGTCCACTCTCTTCGTGTCATTGGCCACGCGAATTCCAAAGCAGCTGAGCTTCTGTAGGGATTCCACAATGTAACTCATCAAGCACTGGATAGTGAGGTTGACCCCATCCTGGGCAACAGGTGCAATCAGCACACAAAAGGTTTCTCAACACCCTACCACTTAATTTGTTTTCCCGTTGTTTTTCACCAAGTAACCTGCTGCACATAGTACTGGCTTGGAATCATCGCAATCAAGAATCTGGATTGGATGGAATTACTTGAGTGTGGGTTCAAAAGCGCTTGCCAGTGGAAAGCCATTGTGGCTTGGCGAAAAGCTGTGCATTCATCACCATAAAGAGCAAGCGGCGCAGAAAGGTTTGGATCAACATCAGACAGCGAAGTAAAGTCCATCTTGATTTTTTGCCAATATAGATGTCGCACTGGTGCATCGCCGAGTAGCAAATTGAGACGCCCTTGGTCCACCAAAGCAGCCACCAAATTGTGTGGTAAGAGAACTGGCCATGCCATGATCTGAGTAATCTCTGACCCATCCTCCTGCTCCACTGCCACCGGAATGTTGCAATGGGTGATCTCGCAAGCGACGCGTAGGTTCTCGTGCCGCCCCACACGTTTGTGTAGTCTAGCTTCACCACTATACCCATCACCCTTGCCAAAGGTCTCAGAAGAGTAGATTCTTCCAATGGACTCTGCAAAATACTGTGGGATTTGTCCAGAACCAAAGGCATTAGCAATCCTTGCTATATGGTTGCCAAATAGTCCTACAACAAAAACACTTTCTGCTAAATTCTAACTTTTCCCAAGTCTTCCAAACATATTCTGCAAAGCCTAGGGTCGCTTTGTCCAATTCGTCTCGTATGGGAGCTGGTACAAGACCTGCGAGGGCCACTCTGCAAACAATATTTTTGTTTGTTGCACTTAGCTCTTCAAAATTGTTTCTTGCACATTTGTTTCCCGGTTCAGAGCGGTTCCAAAAGCCACACAAAGGTTTGTCCCTTGTGGGTGTACCCCTATCGCACACTTGATTCAGTGCGCTGCCCATCAAGACTGGCTCATCAATCATCTTTCGACTTCGCCTTTTCCTAAGATATTGGAACCACACAAGGTTTCTCAACAAAGCGATGGACTATCAACAAAACCACAGGTGACATAAACAATTATTCCCTTTGACATACCAGGCACCAGTTCACGTAGGACTGCTTTGGCCTGTGCCACCAGCATCTTGTTGCCAGACACCTCCACATATGTGGGTGATCATTTGGTGGAAAACCTAGCACCCCTCAGTTGAAAACCAAATGTACCCAACCCAGCCTTGACCTTCACTTTCTCACAAATGGAGTCAAACTTTTCCTCTGCCATTGAATCCACGTCTTCGTAGTTACGAAGCTCGTCCAACAGCACCTGTAGCTCAACCTTTGCAGTGTTGAGCTGAGTCCGTAGATCGTTGCCCTTGGGCAGGTCCATACCCACTGAGCAAGCCATGTATTCTTTCTTCACATCAGCACCTAAGGATCAACACAATGATCACCACAAAAATTCCAAATTGCGATCCCCACCAACCCCGAAGAAGGGAACAAGATGACCAGACTAGGAGCAAGCATCCTTCAGCATCTCTGACCGCTTCTTGGGTTCACAAACCTTGGTGCTGGTGCCCTTCTTTGTCCTTTGAGGCTTCCTTGGCTTCGTCTTTGGCTTAGGATCCTCCTCTTGAGGCTCTGCACGCACGGCTTTCGGTTTGAAAGAATCATCCAAAAGGCCCCGGACATTGAAAGCGCTGGGAGGGGCTTGGCCATTCGAAGCCGGCTCGTTGGTAAGGGCATTGATCACACCTCCATCGGTCTTCACGCGAACTTCACCAGACAAACATTGCTTGTTGGTGGAAGTCCTTGTCCTTTCCTGCTCGACATTGCACCACCATTTGGTCTCTTCCAAAAGATGCGGGCAGTCAGGGTCGAGGACCGGAGTGAAGGTCTGACAGATGTGCTTGATCTTCGCCCTGGATGGAATGGCTGAAAAAGAAAGCACCATGGTTTCAGACCAGCAAACAAAAAGTTGGAAACCTTTGGAAACAAAAAAATTCAATCCGATTCATCCGTTCAGTGGCTCTGAGAACCCATGGTCTTTCATGCCCTGGATAGTGAGCAGCTTCTCTTTCTCCTTGCCCTGCTGCATCTGCTCCTTGGTGACAGTAAGCGTAGTTTCCACCTTCTCTGCAACACCACCCGAAGCAATCCAATTCCGAAGGAGCTTCAGCCTTTCTGTGTGAGAGCCGTTGAACATCTTCATGACATTCGGTACGGTTTCCGCGTCCCCATGATCTTCACACCAACGGTTCATTTTCATGGCTGCCTTCCGACAGTTGCTGGTGTTGATCCACTCATACGGAATCTTGCCAGCCTTCAGCAATTCCAGGATCTCATCTGCCACAGGGGAAAGGATGGAGGATTGACAAAACTCTTGGAACCACAAACGCCAATCAAGAAAAATCGAGAGTTTGACCACCCAGCCTTCTTTCATACCCTTGATCTGCGCCTTGTTGGTGTATGCTACTTCTCCAGGTTCTGTTTCTCGATCAAACAACTCTGATTCTTCTGGAAGTGGCTTACATGCATCTTGAAGTTCTTTGGAAGCCGCATTGGTTTCTGCCGCAGCCAATCCACTCGGAGACAAAGCTGAAACCTGGGAAGGAGCAGAAGGAGCGGGTTCAGGAGCTTCAGCTGGCAGGACTTCATCTGGCTTCTGCTCCTGCTCCTTTTCCGGCTGTTCCTTCTCATTGGATTCAGGGTCGATCTGAGTGTCAGCAAATGGAGCCGGCAAAGCCAGCATACTGGTGAACTGCGGTGCCTTTGACTTTGAAATATCTACTGCCTGGTTCACTGGCAAGACGTTGGTCAACGCAGCCGTGATCGCGCGAACCATCTCCTCCTGAAGCTTCTGAGTAGCCACTTCGCTCGCAGATCCACCCAACCTAAGAATGTCAAAAAAATCCCCTTAAATTATGAATATGTCTTTTTACATAGTCTCCAGCAAAAAAATACCAAACAAGACACAGAGCAGTCAAGAAACCCTGCAAAAAGTTGAGACTCTGTTTGCGAGGCCTCCTGTGACAAGTTTGTAAAGACTGTAGCTGCTGCCTGGGCCATCATTTGAGCTTGCCCTTCAAGAAGTGTGAAGACATCCGAAGGAGGTGATCGCACAGGCGGCACTCCAGCAGGTGAGGTCATCACCTCTGAAGAAGACTCCTGTTTCAGCTCGTCTTTCATGTGTTCATCCTTTGCCTCTGTGTGCTTCTCCTCTGCTTCCTCCTGTGCTTCCTCCTGCACTTCCTCCTGTGCTTCTTTCTCTGCTTCCTCCTCCACTTCCTCCTGTGCTTCCTCCTCTGCTTCCTCCTCTGCTTCCTCCTGTGCTTCCTCCTCTGCTTCCTCTTCTGGCTCTGCTGTAGGTTCTGCCTCTTTAGTCTGCTTCTTCTTCTTCTTCTGTCACTTGTCGTTGGGTTCCTCGGTGATCTCCTCACTTTTCTTATTCTTCTCTGCCGTTTTGTTCTTCTTGGGCTTCTTGGCTGGTTCCACATCTTTTGCCTTCTTTGTCTTCGTCTCCAATTCCTCATCTGCTGCCCCCTTTGTCTTCTTTTTCTTCCGGGTATTGGCTTCTTCCTCTTCCTCTGCCTTCTTCGTCTTCTTCTGGTGTTTCTTGGCTTCTGGTTCCTCCAATTCCTCATCTGCCCCCTTTGTCTTTTTTTTCTTCTGGGACTTCTTGGTGTCTTCTGCTTCATCATCCTCAGCCTTCTTCGTCTTCCTCTTCTGGGGTTTCTCTGGTTCCTCCAATTCCTCATTGTCTTTCTTCTTCGTCTTCTTCTTCTGGGATTTCTCTGGTTCCTCCAATTCCTCATTTTCCACCTTCTTTGTCTTCTTCTTCTGCTTCTTGGCTTCTTCTACGTCCTTGGTTTCTTCATCTTCTCTCTTCTTTTTCTTGGACTTCTTGGTTTCTTCTGGTTCCTCCGGTTTCTCCTCAGGCTTTTTGTTTTGAGCTTTTGCCTTTGCCTTGCCCTTTGGTTCTGGGAACTTGGCTGGCGTCGCAATCATGGGTCTCAGCCTCTTTGGTCTCGTCTCTGGTGTCATTGTTGTTGATGATGCCTGGTTGGTTCCCCATTCCAGTCCAAAAACTATCCCACGAGGTATCATGCAGTTGAAAAGAAACAAGTCTAAAGGTATGTAGTCCAAGATGCCGGTGTAGCTTTCAGCCGGCGCACCACCTCCGCAGCTTCCTCTCTTGTCAAGCCGTGGTCCCGCATCAAGTCATCGATGTCGATGTTCATGGCTTAAGTGTCGCAAGCGTGATACCAGTGAGACCCTATTGTAGCCAATCTGCCACACTAGAGTTTGTAGAAAAATGGAAAAACAATTTTCACGCGTTTTCACGGGGAAAAGCATCACAAATCCAGGGAAAAGTGTTACATTTCACGCGTTTTCACGGATTTTCACGCTCTTTTTTTTTGTGATTTTCTTTGCAACCCCTGTTTGTTTGACATGCCAGTTGTAACTCTTCAACAACTGGCCCCCGAATTTCCCATCATCATTGGCGACATAAAGCCATTTTACCTCAGGTGGTTGTCAAAGATCACCAAAAAACATAGAAACCTGTCACATATCACTTGATTAGCCTAGGAACTCCGGGTCTGGCAACACCAACGACCAGCTGTCATCTGAATCAGCATCATCATTTGCTGGATTGAGGTCTCGATCAGGAAAGTCACCTGAGATAAGGCCAGATATGGCCGGGTCCCCACCCCAACTTCAAAACAACTGGGTTTTCCAACTCTGGTCGACTTGGCCCCGTTATGTTATATGTAGTGGACCCCTAACAAACTGAACATTTGCACCCCTCCCACCTTACAAACAGAAAGGACACATCCAACATGACCCTCAACCTTGAAAGATCCACAACTTTATTTGGTGTCGTTTGATGTCGTTTGAGTCTTTGTGAAATGCAAAGGGTGAACTCTCCGACCAAGAGGTGTAGAAGAGCTCCAGTGCTTTTCCTGCTCAAATTTAAAGCCATGTTCCAGGGCCCTGTCTGTCGCTTTCAATCCTGGGACACCGCAAGAAGGTTCATTGAACATCTGCAAAAAAGGAAAAGGACACATCCCCAAGACAAAGCGCAGGGAGACTAGCGCAAAGCAAGGCGCTGTAGAATTGCTGGCCGTGGTTGCGGAATAATCGTATGAAGAGTCTGAGCTGTAGGAAGAGGAGGACGAATCACGATCTGAAGACACTCGAGTTGCACGCTTTCCTCGCAAAGGATCTTGCCCGGATAAAGGTATCAATCCATCTAGCCTAGCCACCCAGCAAAAACATACACGACCAAAAAAACCTTATCCAGCCAACCATATATTTTAATATTATTGAACCAAGGCTCCTGCATGTAGTCGCATTTGCTCTCGCTGAATCTGCCATCGCTGAAACTGCTCTCGCTGAATCTGCGCTCGCTGAAACTGCTCTCGCTGAAACTGCTCTCGCTGAATCTGCTCTCGCTGACTCTGCTCTCGCTGACTCTTCTGTTGCTCACTCTGGTCAAAGGCAATACTGACCGCCTGAATGTGGGTTGGTTGAGGTTTTGGAGAGTCTCCAATACCATTCACAAATCAAACACAATCAATGCAATGGAACGATAACCAACTGAATGTGTTCAAAAAGCTTCCCCATAGTAAAATGTTAATGTTCAGGCAGGGGAACAAAGTGGGGAACATTCAACCTTTGCAGGACAGAGCCAGGACACGAGTTCCCACTTAAAGCGCTCCATCTCGTGGTAGCCCTCCAAGTCGAACCTCTCCAAGCGAAGCTGCCCTACATACTCCGCCAAGGCAAAAAGCCGCTGGTCCAGTGTGCGCCCAGTCATTGAACAAAATGGCTGCGATACACTTAGCGACATCGTAGGGTTCCTGGTGAAGACCAGGTTCGCACACATTTGCTGCCAAGTCACTTGGCATTTTCACTGATAGGAGCTGGCTCCAATTGCCAGGAAGGGTGCCGCGAGATTCACACATAGCCCGGAGATAGTCTGCTACTTGAGGAAGCTGTGCCTGGGCTTGGCTACACTTCCCAATGTTTGGACACACTCGAGGATCACTCTGAATAGAATCAATGACCATCCAGTCCAAAAGAAAGCAAATGCGACAAAGGTTCTTCATGCCACGGCGAACCCTTCAAGGCAAAGTTCTCATCCAAGCAATGATCCCTGAACAGCTCCCAATCGGTCTTGGATTCATCAATGTGAACTTCAACTCGTGGCCCGGGCAAAGGGTTGGACCACACCGCTTTGAGCGCAGCAGCAACAAAGTGCCCAAAGTCGGCCGTATATGCCCTTGGCTACTGTTTGACTTTTTTCAACACGCTTTGCAATTGTTTTGTGTATTTAGTATTTGCGCCAAATGACTCCCTGGAAAAAAATCATAGGTTCCTCAAAATCACCCAAGCTTCTGTGACTCTTTGAGCTCCTTTTTCTTGCCAGTGGTGCGAGTGCGGCCCAGTTTGTCCAGACTTTTGATCACCAGCGATTTGCCTGTGAGCTTCTGCCTTTCCTCATTTCCCAGAGCACCAGGTAAAAAAGCTATGGCTCACACCAAACTCTAAACATCCTCAACCCCCGGTCTTCTTCAAATAAATACACGATCAAACCACAGCATCCTCTCGTGGAAGATGCCCACCACGACGATGAATGCATTCAAGGATTGCAGCATCTGAAGACCACAGAGTATGACGCTTTGGTGTTGGGCCACCAAATGAGCCCATCCAGAACCCTGATTGAAAAACCTCATAGCGGCGCTCGAAAGAATCAAACATATACCAAGGACATCCTCACAACTCCAAGTAAAAGAGAAACACTTGCCAAAACAGTTCCTAGCAACGCATACATACTTGAACAACATGTTCATTGAAGGGTGATGGCCCAAAATGGATCCATGCGGCTGTTCTAAAATGAAGCGTGCTCCACGGCAGGCTGCAAGCCACAGGCAAAACACGGTGCGGCAACCTAGAATATTCCCCTCATTCACGAAAGAGAAGCGGTTGAAGCCTTCTGGGTTGAATGCCGTTCTTCCCGACGTGGAGCGGCTCCTCAGAGGAAAGCAGAGGATATTCAAAAATGGGTTGGCTTTTCTTCCAAGAATTGGCACCCTGGAATTCAATCACCAAATCAACACCACAACCCTCGAGGAAAAAACCATGCCAAACAAAGCCCAGCAACATGCGGGAGAAGGAACTGCAAACCAACGCGGCCAGCACAAGGCCTCCAGGAGACACTTGAAGAATCTGGCTCAGCACCAACCTGCCCAGCTGGGCAACCAATGTGAAAACCAGACAAATCCACCCAACATTCAACATCCACATAATTACTAAAGCCAGGGGAAAGCAAACCAAAAGTTTCAGGGACAGCTCCAGGTAGCGCAAAACCTGCAGACGAGAGCAGATCCTGTGTTCTGGGGTCGTGGTCGTAGTCGATGCTGACGCCAATGAAGTTCGCCTGAGGCAAACACAACTTAAATAAGGATTGGCCTAAGCCTCACTAATCAAAAATGGAACACATATTTGGGGCAGGCCACTGATCGCATGGCTCTGGAAAGCTCCCCCTTTCCACTGAAGATCTCAACAAAGTCCAGCGGGGACATTGTCATCCCAGCAAACTTCACCAAGAGGACGATGTAGACCAGAATGGGTGGGAGGCTCCAGCGCAGCATTGACGCTACATCTGCCATGGATTGAGACCACTGCAGTGAGAAAGGAAACCCGCGGACAAATTTGAGCCTCCAACTAAAAGTAAACAACAAATCTGTTGAGATCTGTTGAGCCTTGAAAATTCAATACAGCTAGCAAATTGGTTGTTTTTCAGCCTGGCATTGATCTAAACCCTGCAATGCCATTCTCTACTTCTTGAAGCGGCGTCGCTTCAGCTCAGATTCCGAAAGGCCCGCCAGGAGCTCAGCTCGCTTGGCTGAAGCTGCCCAACTTTTTTGTGCATTCTGGTGGCTCTCACCAGCAGCCTTTCGTTCATTCAAAAATTTGCGATATTCTTCCTGAAAGGAACCAGCCTTGTAAGAAGACTGTTCACCCTGGTCCCCATCCCCCGAAACGCTAGAAGTCTCAGTTTGCTTTTTCTTGCCTTTTTTCTTTGGCTTTGCCTTCTGAGTTTTCTTTTTTTTCTTGTCCTTGCTGCTACCTCGACCCGTTTCCTCATCGTTCTTGTCTTCAGTCACTGGTGGAAGTGGTAAAGGGCATTGGATCTGTCGCAGCGTCTCTAAAACCTTCAGGGGTCAAAAAAACACCCAATACTTAGGGGAAAGAATCTGGTACAAACCCTGCCTTCTTCGGCAATACTGCAGGAGGGGATTTAGATGTACCCTTCTCCTTCCCATTCTTTCCATCCCCACTCGCACAAGCAGCTGAAACAAACTCATCCTGTAGGTTTTTCGGCCCAGGTGGACTGAATATGTCTTTGGCTGCAAAGGAGCGCTTGACGGATTCCACAATGGCCAGGAGAGCACCACTATCAATTGGATCTGGGGTCACTGACGAGGAAATATCATCATCGTCCCATTCTGACCATCCATCTTGTGACTTCTTCTGTAGGAGCTTCCAATCCTAGGAGGCAGCACACAATCGCTGACACAACTTAAGGGTTCAGGGAAAAGGAGACGACAAAAATAACAGCTGGAAAAGGAGACAACAAAAATAACAGCTGAACAAGCATCCACATAGCCATCGCATTGGTCTTTGATCCATTGCAGCGCTTTTGTCTTCTGGGTAGAGCTGCGCATCGCCAAACGCCGGAACCGGCAAGCCTCACCAAAAATATTAGTCAATGAATGTCAATGATTTGACTGAGTCAGACACTCTGGAAATCAAAGGATTGACAAGGAAAGCCCAAAAGCTGCCCAAGCAAATCGAGCAGGCAACCACCCGAGTCAATCCCAGCGCCATCTTTCCAGCCCAATCAATCACACTTGGAGTGGTTCTGCATAGGCCATCTGGAAATAGGCCATGGTCCTGGTAAAACTGCAAGATCGCTGAAGCCACCAGGTGCTTTGAGT